AAATGCAATATAGAAATTAAGAAATGCAGAATAAGTGATAAAGAACGGAAAATCATCAGAGGTGTTGACGGAAGTCTAAATCATTGTATAAGATGAGAAGATATGTTGTATGACTGTTGGAAGTGATATGTTAAAAAATCTATATGTGTATATAGATAGATGATAGATAGATAGATAGATAGAACAGCAGGACCAGCCATCTTGATTTCTGACTGTGCCCTGGAGAGAGACTAAACTGCACTCTCCAGGATGTTGTGGCAAATTTAAAATGGCAGTCATGAGCCTGATGCTGGGAGGACACACTGACATTGGCAGATCAGGTTGACAAACGCCTGCTTAAATGTGGAGCCACCTTAACTGTACCCTTACTTTTATTTATCCTTGTTCTTAGAATTCCCAAGCATTGTACAAAAATTAAAACACCAAAGCCTTTCTTTCATCATAAGAACATAGGGCAAGCCTACTGGATCAGGCCAATGGCCCATCTAGTCCAGCATCCTTCTCTCACAATGGTCAACCAGATGCCTGTGGGAAGCCTGCAAGATGGACATGAACACAAGAGCGCACTGCCCACCTGCAGCTTCCAGCAACTGGTATTCAGAGTCATGCCTCTGACAGTGAGGACAGAACATAACCGTCATGACTAGAAGCCACAGATAGCCTCATCCTCCATAAATCTGTCCAATCCTCTTTTAAAGCCATCCAAGTTGTTGGCCAACACTGCCTCCTGCAGGAGTGGGTTCCATAGTTTAACTCTGCCATAGAACGAATAATTTTAAAAATCTCCCTGGAATCTTCCAAAATTCAGCTTCACCAGATGTGCATGGGTCCTAGAATTATGACAGAGGGAGAAAAGCTTTTTCTCCTTCCACTTTCTCCATTCCATGTATAGTTTTGTAAACTTCTATCATGTCGCCTTTTCCTTGCCTTTCCTTCAAATGAAAAAGTCCCAAATGCTGCAACGTTTTGTCATGGATGAATTGCTCCACCTTGGTCATTTTGGTTGCCATTCCGTGATCCTCCAGATTTTTGGACTAGAACTCCCGTGAGCACTAGCCGGATCAGCCCAAATGGACAGGGATTAGTGGGAGTTGTGATCCATGGAATCTGAATGGTGCAAGAATGGGGAAGGCTGAAAAAAACAGATCACAACCCTGTGGGCAGGGACAAATAATAAAGCGCTGTTACGGAGAAAAGAAAGGGAAATGGTGGAAGATTAATTGGAATTACTCCTATGGGGGAGATTTATAGTGCTGTACCTAGGGAGAGTGTTTCAGTGAGGCAAGAACCTGCTCACTGCCTCTGAGATTGGGTGGTCTGGCCTCCATCCATAGGGACAACATCCAGTATGTGCAAAGCATATCTGTGCTCAGAGTACATGTTGAATACATGGCCAAGGATTTGAACAGCCTGTGGGCCTTCCCACCAGTCCACACACGTACTGCCAGTCACAATCCATCAGTAGTACTCCAAAATATATGTTATGAATAATAGCTTTGTTTAGACAAGCATTTCAAGGGTTCAAGGTGCTTCACAGATAATTGTACCAATCATTACTTCAACAGCCCCAACTGTTATGCCAGGACCATTATTGTCCCTACCTAGGAGGTATGCTAAGTATATATAATGGTTTGTCTAAGGCCATGGGCGTAGCCAGGATTTAGTGGTGGGTGGGTGGGTGGGTGGGTGGGTGTGGGCAGGACACCCACCTGACCTGTTCCAGAACCGAGCTACCTCTGACACGAAGCCATACCTATCACTCAGTCGGATTATCAGTTGCATTGCTAGAATGCACCGCAACATCATCCAAGTAATAATAATATTAATAATAATATTTATACCCCGCCCATCTGGCAGGGTTTCCCCAGCCACTCTGGAGGCTCCCAACAGAACACTAAAACAATAAAAGTTCAAACATTAAATTTTTTCCTAAACAGGGCTGCCTTCAAATGTCTCACAAGTGACCTCAGTGAATGTTTCAATTTCAAATATTCTGATTATTTCTACTTTGAGTTAAGTATTGTTATTTGTTTATAGACAATTATGTACTTACCGTAATTCGTTCCGGACGTCCATTCTTAACTTGAAACTGTTCTTAACCTGAAGCACCACTTTAGCTAATGGGGCCTCCCGCTGCTGCCGCACCGCCGGAGCACGATTTCTATTCTCATCCTGAAGCAAAGTTCTTAACCGGAGGTACTATTTCTGGGTTAGCGGAGTCTGTAACCTGAAGCGTCCTGTAACCCGAGGTACCACTGTACTTGATTTAGGCGGGGGCAGCTGCTCCTGCACCCTGCCCCGGCCCCGGCCATGTCTAAGGTCACCTACTGAGTTATGTGGGCTGAGATGACATTTGAACTGTTGGCCCCTGCAGGAGTATTACCTTGCGAGTATTTGGCTGCAGATGGACCATGCTCACATTGTGGTACCAGGTGTGTGAACCACTGCCTTCTAGAGCCGTATCTGCAACTGCTTCCATTTGTATCATTTAGCTGCCTCGTTTGCAAGCCCGGTGGCTCCATACAGTCCTGAGATTATGCCAGGTATGAACTCTACTTCACCAGCATGCTGCAAAGTTAAAGACTGCAAAAACATTCTACACGTCATAGTTCTTTCTGTCTTTCCTTACATAGATAGCCCAATGGCCCACCTTGTCCGGCATCCCGTTCTCACAGATGCCTGTGGGAAACCAGAGAGCAGAATAGGAACACAAGAGCATCTCTCACCTCCTGTGCTGCCTCCAGCTGTGGAGGGGAAAAAGAATAGCCAGCTAGCCCTCTCCATGGATTCCTCTAATCCTCTTTTAAAGCCATCCAAGTTGGTGGCCATCACTGAGGGAGCGAATTTCATAGCTTGACGATGTACTGCATGAAGAAGGAAAAGATGGTGGCTTCATGGGCTTTGAGACAATCCCTGGGAGAGATGGCTGTTGCTTCCATTTTACCCACAGGGAGTTGAAGCTCGGAGTAAAACAGCCCAAACTAGCGTTTCCTTGTGAGTTCTTCCCTGACTGCAAAACGTTCCTTTGTTTGTTTCAATGGAGAATGCAGCTCCGTGCCTTTTTCTTCCGTTCTACATAGATGTCCCTTGACTAAAATGAATTGAAATGAATAGATGTCCATCGACTGAAATGAAATGTGCATATGCTGTTCCTGCATGTGAAGGAAGAGCATATGCACATCAAAGCAAACACAAGAGTCTGAGTTAGGGTCACTTGCCCAGGAAGACTTTCTGTTGTAATTGGCTGAAGCAGACAGCTGAATTGAGGCCTAAATCTAATACCCTCTCCATTTCATCACCAAGGCTTCTGTTAGATACATATCCCAATTCAAATATGAGTAAGAGTCCTGTGGCACTTTAAAGACTAACAAATTTTATTATGGGATAACCTTGTGTGGGCTAGAGTTAAGTTCATCAGGTGCACGGAGTATCCTAAGTTGGCAAGTGTACATATACATGGTTGCATATCCTCCATCATTTTTCTGATGAAAATTGGCATTTTATTTTATTTTATTATTTTTTATTTCTACCCTGCCCACCTGACTGGGTTACCCCAGACCAGGCATAGGCAAACTCAGCCCACCAGAAGTTTTGGGACTACAACTCCCATGATCCCTAGCTAACAGGACCAGTGTTCAGGGATGATGGGAATTGTAGTCCCCAAAACATCTGGCAGGCCGAATTTGCCTATGCCTGTCCCAGACACTTTGGGCTGCTTCCAACATATATAAAAACGTAATAAAACATTAAACATTTTAATAAAAAACCTTCCCTATTCAGGGCTGCCTTCAGCTGTCTTCTAAAGGTTGAGTAGTTACTTTTCTCCTTGACTCGGGGGTTGCATAACTCCATATCCCCACATTTTTTTGATGAAAATAGGGACGTCTTAAGGAAAAGTGGGATGTTCTGG